CAAAGCATTGTAACACTGTAAACTATTATGCACGTAGTAAGAGGCGACTATGAAGCATAAGCGTGCTGTTGGCTAGCTAATCCTGTTTGCCTAAAAAAATATTCAAAATTTGTGCTGAGGACTCCATGTATTTCACTGAATTGGTATTTCGGTTTCACATTCAGTAGAAATGTTGAAGCTTCAGAAGGACTGATAGACGGAAGTAGTAGAATCATGAATAAAAGAATATCCAAACGATGTTAGTTTATTAATGTTATGAATAAAACTAGGAATGTCCATGCTTAAGAACAATTTTCTAAAAAGACTTTGTAATGCAGTCAGGGAAATTAGTCAAATTTCACAGAAGAATACCTATTAGGGTTCCACCACTTAATTGACATCTTTTTGGTATCTGGGTCACGGTAGTTTTTAAGCGTAGGCCTTTCCCGTCAGTATCAAAAAAGTATCTGGTCATCTCCTTGTGAGATGCACTTGTTCGTTATTTGAAGCCCCATAAATATTGTCTAATGGCTGAACGCGGTTTCTGGGACCTCTCCGCGGTGATCCTCAGCCACATGGTGGCAGTTTGTGTCGTCGGGTGTTTATCGCTTGTGTGATGTCCTAGCGGGGTAAAAATCTACTACTACTACTACCGTCAGTATGGTGTGTGGCCTCCTCTTGCGTGGATCAGTGACTGGCATTTCTTAGGCATGGATGCAGTCAGACGTCTGATGTGGTCCTGTGGGATGGCTGCCTACTTTTCCTGGAGTCCCTAGAACAGATTACGACTTTTGACTGGAGCAACGTTTCGGCGACAAACACTTTTTTGCAGCTGATCCCACAGGTGCTTAATCGGACTCATGTCTGCAGATAGGGATGGCCAGGGAAGGGTTTGAATGTTACAGGAACTGCGTGGTCAGCTGTGCAGAATGGGGTCTGTCGTTGTCCTGCTGAAAAAGATATTGATCCCAAAATGGAAGGCATTTCGTTGTAATCTGATTCATCAATGTCCCAATGATACTTCGTTTACACACCCACCACCGTGCAGCAGAGCTTCATCAACACAATTTTGGGCTAAACCTTAAGTTCGTCCACGGTAGACCCTACGCCGTCTATCATGACGCTGCAACAAAAATAAAGATTCGTAACTGAACCAGACACGTCTCCACTGATTGTCACTTGCCCAGGGACGATGTTGGTTGGTCCAAAAAAGTCGATTTTGGTGGTGGCGACGCGTAAGGACAGGTCCTCGGTGTGGTCGTCGAGCCTAATGTCCAACATCATGCAGTCTGTTCTAAACAGTTTGATCAGATACATGACGTCTTGGGGGCAATGCCTGTACAATTGAGGAAGCTGTTGCAAACCTGTCTCCGCTGCTATTATCACTCTAGGTCGTCTAATGCGATGTCGGTCTTCAACTAAACCAGTGGCTTGGAACCGGTGCCAAAGTCGATGATACTCTGATGCCTGGCAACCTGACTTTGACTTTCGTCTGCCAGCAATCGGCCAATAGCAATATTCCTAAAATTTATAATAGAGGCGCCATCGTAACTGCTTGAAAATGAACTGGTCGTTTCGGTGTAGCGTTATCCATTTATAGGGTTTCAGTTGCGTAGGCAGTGAATAGTGTTCACCGCAAATTGTGTTTCTTTCTCGTGCGCGCATCGTGAGCTGTGCTTACAAATATGGTCTTAAACACAGTTGACCACTGCGTTGTAACGATTACAAAAAACCATGCAATTCACTCCCTACATGTTCAACTGGACACAGTAAACAACATTTGAGTCTGCTTTTCTCATACCCGAGTACGAAATTTTATTTACAAACTAATGCTCGGCTCGCCAGCATAGTTGGCTAAACCGAACTGCGCGTGGCTGGGTAACGAACTCCTTGTGGTCCGGGTTCACGCCCGGGGCTAGTAAGAAAAGCCACATTTCTCCCAGATTTACGGTATTTACAATGGAATCAAGGCCGAAGGGTTGCGATATCCATAATACCGAGCCTAAGGGGTAACAACTCATGGCTTCTGAACACTATTAAAAAAAAAAAAAAAAATTACAAACTAATAAAAACGCGCCATCGGATAAATTTGCTTTTTTTTTTTTTTTAACAGTATGTTATACTTTGCCATCGCCATCGCGTTATGCCCATTGAAACATGTTGCGTGACTGCAGTCTATTCCCGAGAGGCAACCTTAACACATTGTTTATGTCTTGAAATCAGTTATCTGACGTTTTATCACTACACTTGCTCTTTCTCTGTTTATCCTTTTATTCTCATATCCAACTTTTCATCCTTGAGAGATTTCGGCTTTACACGCCAACACAACATGTTTTCTCATATTGCACCTAAAGAATTCTAAGTGTGTGCACTTCTTATACCTAAACGTAAAAAAAAAAAATAACACAAGAGATTTCCAACATGTTTTCAAGAGCATAAAAGCAATTCCGTTAAAGATAAATGTAAGCATAGATTCATTCTTTCTCAGTCGTCCTCTCGTTTGTGTCTGTCATTGTATTATTCTATCGTTAACAAAATAGTCACCTTCCAACATTTTCCAAAAACTTCTCTATATGGTTACACTTTAAAGGTTTGTACCGAACATATGAGGCACAAGCGACACATAATTTTATGTACTTGTGTGTAAAGTTCAACTTTTTGAGCAATATTGCACTTAAGAATATTCTTTCAAATGTTCTTTGATATCCTCTGTCTTCGACAAAGTGTTCAAATTGCCAGTTGCACCCTGATTCAAAGTACGCATGTGTTGTTCCAGTTGCGTTAAGTGCTGTCCAAAACCTCCGTTAATTCTCTGCTGAATTAGTCTCTAAAAATAAGGATATTATGTTCTGTTGCATTAACCTAAACAGCCTTCTCCGTGTCTGCCGTTCTTAAAATCGGCTTTCCCACAGGATCGTCTGTAGCCAAATTACAACTTGTTCATTGCCAAACAGGCCTACATAAAATAGGCAGAAATCGATAATATACACCTGACTCAAGTTTTATCCTGTGAAGCGACCCTATGTTGCCTTTGGACTGCTTCTTTTCAAAGTTCATGCCGTGTGGCTTTGGTAGTTTAAATTCCATAGAGTGTATTGAGAATATATGTTGCAATGGCACTTAATTTTAGGCTAATCAACGATGTTACAAATGCATTCTACGTCATTAAAAGCTGTCTGACGCATATTCCCTAAACGTGGACTGAAAGTACATGATTTTGTCGTCCAGCTACTGGACTTAGTGCATAGTTCGACACTGTGAGCAGTGAATTTCATGTGGAATATTTTTCGAATGTGTGTAGTGTGATTTTGTTTGTTGTCAGCAATATATTCAGAAAATGGTCGGCGACCCTTTGCCACACAAATGGCAGTGCTTTATGCAGTAGTGGAAAGGCAACAGTATATTTGTGGTGATTTTTGCTTCCATAGAAGATAATCGGCGGATCTAGCCAGGGTCGTCTTAATGCATGGACCCGCTAGGCTCTTGCCCCGGGCCTCCACGAGCCTAATTGCCCCAACATGATCTGTGAATTCCAAGTGTTTGGATATAAACGAAGTTCGTAATAATCTCATATTGTGCAGTCGAATATGTGTTCATGCTTTAACACTAATTTTGTTGAAGTGCCAGTAAAATAGATATATATTTAATATTATCGACCATTTACATTTAATTTATATGAGAGGTTGTGGTAGTGGCCCCAGCAAATTGGTTTTCCCGTGTGCTCATAAAACCGGTAAGACGGCCCTGGTTCTAACAGCAAACGTTTGATTTCGCTGATTATTGTCTTTAAATCGTGCGTATGCTGCAGGTTTTTGCTAGAGTGACAGTCAGTTCAGGTTTTGTTCCCCTCTAAATGTGACAGAGATAGGTATTCTGTTTGGTTCACACTGGCATAGAAGTGACCAGTTATCCATAAAATTGAAACTGCCACTAACGGCTAATGGCTAATGATATTCAAATAGTACACACATGTGACTGAAGAAGCTGAAGTAATATTTATTCTAGAATATATAACTTTACGAAAGAGTAGCTCACAAACTATTTACAAATCTGTATCATAACTGAAGAAAATGCGGTGGGTTGGCTGGTACAAAAAAGAGTTGAATGATGAGACCAACAGCCGCTGCAAAGCTCAGGTTAGACCCTGGCTAATAGCAAACATTTGTTACAAGCTGATGAACGAAGCGTTTCAGTATCGTATCGTCATTATCATTACCACCATCTTTTCTATGTCAGCGTCTGTGGCTTAGGTGTTGCGAAACCGCTCCGTAATGCCGGGGTGCCAGGTTCAATCCTAGCTGCTGCATGCCCTTGCGTTGGTTTCGACAGTGGTATTGAGAAGACGACCGTTTAGAAAGCAGTGGCAAATTACTGGACGTAAATTTGCTAGAAAAACCATAACTGCCAAACAATGTTGGGGTTGGTTCTGCAAGGTCCTGTAAAGGAAATGCAACTAATTGTTTTTCCGATATCATGGACAGAATCCAGTCCTGCAAATTTGGCCCCTCTCATCAATGCTTGTTTTTATGTTTCTCTTTGGCGTTCTCGTTTCTTCAATCCATTTGTTTCCCATATCAGTGCCTGTTTCAGGATTGATTGTTTTGTTCGCTTTTCCTCATGGTCTCATAATAAATATCTCATTGGAATGTATGTGGTTGTGTGTGTATTGTTTGTGTGCGCACGCTTCACGCTTGAAGTGTTCAGCCTATCAATCTTCTCTTATCTCTTGCTGTCAATGTCCAAAGCAAGCAGGGGTAATTAAAGCCTTACCCACGGATGACTGCAATGTAAACCCCTGTGGGGCTCTATGTAGATGCTACGTACGCCCTTGTTATTACTTCCTATAAAGTTGAACGAGATATATAAGATTTTTTTGGCAGATGGACATCCAAGATACGGCTCTTTGAGTTGCTGGGGTGTCAAGCCATAATGTAGCTGTCACTGTGTCAGTTCAGGCCCAAGCTAATTTCTATATATAAAATACATGTTTCAAATTTGAGGATCATATCTTTACTCCACAGTCAAACGAGCGCTTTCTGAGAAAAATTCCCAAAGGAAGTGAGGTGGCCAATGTGATGGTTGCTGAGATTGAAGAACTGAGCAACACCGTATGCGGTCTTCTACGCCTGAACGAAGCCAGGATGCTTGGAGATTTGTCAGAAGTTAATCTCCCAACAAGGTCAGACACGCTTTGAACAAATAATTTAGTATGTAGTATTTCATATCAAGACACTCTGGCCTAGGGGCTGTAAACGCAATGTAAAAATGCAGACATACAGGGGTTTTCAGTCAACTTTTGGCGAGTTGATACATAGCCTCTTTGAGTTTATTTGTTTAACAGCATACGTGACGCAGCGCACTTCATGTAGACAACTAACTAAATTATTTTTGTTTAATATATCTTATTCAAGAATTGTAGAAGGACTTAATCGGATAAGACATCCTTCAAATGTCTTCACATCGGATTGTCACATCAGTACCACATGTTCTGTAGTTCACTGTGAGATCGAATGTATTACATGTGCCCGGCTCTCTAGCGGAATGTCTTAAACCATTTCGCGGAGATCGTACTCCTTGTGGTTGTCACATCCCGGGGGTAGGCAGGAAAGCCAAACATTTTCTCCCAGATTTACGGTATTTACACTGAATGAGATCGAAGGTTGTGATATCCATAATACCGAGCCTAAGGGTTAACCACTCATGGCTTCTGGATACTAAAACAAACAAACAATGTATTACATTATCCCTGTGGATCCCGCTAGTGAATCCGCATCCAGGTGTATTTTATTTTCGAAACAGACCTTGGCTGCCATGTCGATGCAGCCCTAAATGGCAACAGGTAATACCTTCGGAGGTAAATGCGGTTTGCATGATGCTGACATCATCACCCTCAGAGTCCCGACTGGTCTATAAGAAATATGAGTCTAGCAACATATGCTTGAGCACTAGTAGTGTAAAACGGGTTTTTTGCTCACTGTTACTTACACACTGGCGTCGACGTGGTAGGCAGGTGGCAGACAATATGTACTTTATTACCATGACATTAACACTTCGTCAGTAAACCTTATAACTTCATTGTCAGTTCTTCATTTGTGATCTTGTTTGACCAAACTGCCAAGGACTGAATCAGTGAACAATTACGACAGTCGTTATTTTATTTTCAGGTTTGTTTTCATTATACTGGGACCTAAAGGCAGCCTAGAAGCCAACCAGGAGAGTGGGAGATGCCTCTCCACCATGCTGGTCGATGACGTAAGTAATTAGTAGTTGATTTTAATTGCATTACTCACTCTCTCTTTTAAGGTTTGCTAATTAGGAAGAAAACTGCAGGTAATGGCTTGTAGAAAATGAAAGTAAGAGATCCCTATACTGCCTGTTATCCTATACTGCCTGTGACCCATTAGCAGGAGTGTCGAATCCCCCCCCCCCCACCCCTCTCTCCCAACCCTTGGGGGAGCCTTCAGTTCTAAGACCTTAGTGAATTTACAAGTGGGCTAAATGGCCCACCTAATCGTGCATTCATGTTCTTTTCCGTTATTTTAAATTCATATTATTTTTAACATTTTATAACAGTTACTTTTCCTTCATCACAAAATATTAATAACTGTTATTATTATTTTCCATTTAAACAGGTATAAGCGCCTTGAGCGGCCTGGAAGATTATAAAGGCGCTCAAACGACACACTCCTCCCCGACCCTTAATGATGTATTTGTGGCTGTGCTGCGCCTGCCAATCCGTCATATAGGGCAACTCCTATTTTTATAGACCAATCGACACAGGGTGGGTGATAAAGTCAACATCATGAAGGCCGCTTTTGCTTTCCACGTCGTTTTCTTGTACCCAATTAAGACCTTGAGCCAAAACCAGTTTCAAATAATTTCTTTTGTTGCCGATTGGAACCCAGGACGTTTAGGTCGACAGGCAAGCGTTTAGCCACAATGCTACAACGGCTCCTGTTAATGCTTTTAGTTTAGACGCTCGTTTTTACGTAAAAGATCAAGCTAACGTTTTTTTTTTTTTTTTTTTTTTTTTTTTCAAATTCAAATATGTGAGGTTCAAGATGCATAATTGAGCTAATAATTGACTTCTTGGCAGGTGTTTCGGGAGGTCGCTTACAAAGCTGGCACGCGGGAAGACATGGTAGCGGGAATTGACGAGTTCTTGGAGCAAGTGACAGTTCTCCCTCCTGGAGAATGGGATCCTAAGATTAGAATTGAGCCACCAGACAAAGTGCCTGATCAGGTCAGTAGACTTCAGTCTACTTCTTCTTCTTATACATGAAGTTCGTTATAAAGCTTTTTCATTCGTTCTAGTTGTTCTGTTTCTCCTCCTTTCTCTTCCGTCTTCTACTTCTTCCTTCTTCTCCCCCTTTTCCTTCTCGCCTTCTTGATTCTCATCGTTCTCTTTCTTCTCATCGTCCTCCTTCTTCCTCATTTTCTTCTTCTTCTTCTTCTTCTTCTTCTTCTTCTTCTTCTTCTTCTTCTTCTTCTTCTTCTTCTTCTTCTTCTTCTTCTTCTTCTTCTTCTTCTTCTTCTTCTTCTTCTTCTTCTTCTTCTTCTTCTCTTTTTCTTTCTTCTTCTTCTTCTTCTTCTTCTTCTTCTTCTTCTTCTTCTTCTTCTTCTTCTTCTTCTTCTTCTTCTTCTTCTTCTTCTTTCTTCTTCTTTCTTCTTCTTTCTTCTTCTTCTTCTTCTTCTTCTTCTTCTTCTTCTTCTTCTTCTTCTTCTTCCTTCTTATCCTCGAGATCGGCATAGGAACGATGGAATCAGGAGGAGAGACTGCATAAAACCAACATTGAACTTTTTCAGTAGACAACAGATCAATTGGTTCGGCCACGTAACAAAATTGACATCAGACAGGGTCCCACAGAGAGCATTATTACACAGATACACGGTAACAGAGCCAGAGGTCAACGGCACAGAACATGGACCGCAGAAATATCAGAGACGTTAAAAACAGACTATATACGATGTCTTGTTAGAAATTAAGTTATAAAGAGTTACCCACACCAGAGGGAAAGAATCCCCATTCGTTAGGCATTTCAAGAAAAAGGAGACTCTGGTACTTCGTGGCAATATGCAAGTGGCAAGGGATGAAAGGCAATAAAAAGTACTACATACGATGTCAAGACAAAAGATGCTTACAATCTGGCATCGTGGCATGGATGACCGTATCAGAAGTGATTGGCAGTAGACGCAACAAATGTTAATTGATAGACACGATGGCCTACTCAATATAGCAAAGGCTGTAAGAAGACATATTTTACGTACAATATAGTCAACACTTCACAGGAAACCTTCGCAATTTTTAACAATTTTAAAGATTATTACTAATATTTTTTTTTTTAAGTACTTAAATATCGATATTTCCCATTTGGTTCCGGAACCCCATTTTAAGGGTGGATGGAGGAGGAGAAGCGCTGAACCTTAACAAGCATGTCGTAAAAGGCGACTAATTTAGGGTTTCCTTAAATGGAGTCTGCTGGCTTGAGAGTGAACCTATAGCAGCCTAGCCGTTAGCCAAAACACAATGTGGTAACCGCCCTTTTAAAAGCGACTGCTAAAGAAGAAATGTCGACATATTCTGAGTAAAGTACGATAGACATGTACTGTTTACAGCAGCCATGTCGGAGCCAGTGAGCTCACGGGCGTTTGAACACCAGTTGTCAATATATACATTTCAGTCTCTATTATTTTTCCTGCCAGGAATTCCGAAAACTTCCCGCCAAAGATGGGACTGGAGCAGATGACGAACATGAAGGTCACTGCGACCCAGATCTGGTTTTCAGTGGACGGTAAGTGTATTTTTAGATGACTACGTAAGCAGGTAAGAGGTCCTCCTTTTTTTTTTAGCCACTGACGTACTAGGCACGACCGGCTCCAGCTCGGTCGTGTACTAGGAATATGATGTTTAAATCATATAGTCTAAATCGGCAATTGGTGGGTGATGTCGTAAACGTCAGTCCTGCCGCCTTTACTTCCCTGGACCTTACCTGGCACTTATTTTAGGCTGGAAGCCAAGGTCCATTTTGAAAACAAAACATCCGACTCAGTGCGGATTCGAACGCGATACTCTCGGGGCAATAGGCAAGCGTTTAGCAACCACCCTACCGCGACTGCCAAGGCGACCATTGACTATATGTTGGATACAGATTTCCTGGACAAATCTAATGGACGAGAAACATTTGAAAACAAAGTTCTCAAGTTATATGATCAGAAAGACACGCAATTTAAAAACAGTAGATGAAATGGTTTAGACATCTAACAAACAAGAATGTCCTGATACAAATATCGCAGAGTGCCACACTTAAGAAATACAATAAGCAATTCAATTTATCATCGTGCAGCAGGTCCTTTCATCAGGGTCTACGTGAAAGCAATTCAGTCTTCCGCCAGCTCTCCCGCTTCGTGTACTTTCATATTCAAGGAGTCACCTAATTCCTGTGCCCATCTTCGTGTCAGTCGACCCCTGCCCCTCTTTCGAGGTACCATGCCATCTGCTATTATTTTTTTCCAATCCAATGTCAGCTTCCGAGACAAGCTGCTGTTTAATAACCAATCTTCGGTGATGTTCGGATCTTTTAAAATGTCAGTATTTCTTGATGTTCGGATCTTTTAAAATGTCAGTATTTCTTCTTTTCTTTGCCCATGATAGTCTGAGCATCCTTCTATAGCATTTCAGCTCAAAAGCCCCTTTTTTCCCTTCCACTGTTGCTACAAGAAAGATTTAAAAAAAGTAAAGTAAAGATCCCTTTTCACGCCTTTCTGCGCATCGGGTATATGGGCAGAGCGTCCCATATTTTTACAGACCATCAGCACTCTGTGGGTAATGTGGTCAGCATTACGCCGGCTGTCTTTACTTTCCCAGGACAGCCAATCCTGGTACCCATTTTAGGCTGGGTCGACCTGCGACGTCCCATACCACGACAAAAATCCACGCAGCCTGCAGTGGGTTTCGATCGCGGTATGCTGGCTCACGAGTCGGATACAAGAAAGATGCATGCTCTCAAATGTTAATTTTGATTTCTTTGCTGGTTCCTAACCATAAACGTTTAATGCTGTAGCAATACAATTAGTTTATTGTAATTATTTACCGCTATCATCGCGAATAATTGGAACAAATGATAACCTTGACTGTGTCTAAAACATGTTTATAAGGTTTTATCTTGTCCACCATCAGTCCTTTTGGCGGTTTGATTAACGACATCAAGAGGAAGATCCCATTCTACGTCAGCGACTTTACCGACGCCTTGCATATTCAGTGTCTGGCGTCATTTGTGTACATTTTCCTTGCCACCTTGACCCCGAACGTGACCTTTGGGGGAATGCTGGGACAGGAAACGGATCAGTACATGGTAGGTTTGGGTGCCATCTTGTGGTTTTAAAATTACATTAAAGGCAGTAATGACTCCTATATGACTGCCTTTGACATTATGGAATGTATTGTTTCGTCCATCACTAGTGATGAGGACCAATCTTTTTTTCATTCGTCACGAACTGAATGTTTTTTTTTAGTCCGGAATAAATATATTACTAAAGACTACATTTTCATCCACTTCAGACAGCAAACTGAGTGTATTAGGGAGGAAAAAAAGTCAATTTCAGTTTATTGACATCTCCAAAGAGTTGTCCTCAAAATGTCTAAGTATTACTATTATTAATCAGGAGAGCAATTTGAGACAATATGAAATATTTGTGAAAGAGAGACAGAGCAGCTCAATGTGAAAAGATTCTTGAACGTCTATCGTCATGGCATAGAATGGTGTCGGCGCACACACACACACACATGGTTCTGGAGATGGAAAGATACCAAGAAGTGTTATCGATGTACAGAAAAATACTTGATAATTATGATGGAGTTGAGGATGGTGATGTCATTCTGGAGAATTCGACGACCAAACTATACTTCATCCCCCCCCCCCCCCCCCCCCCCCCCCCCCAAGGCTTTCTTGAAATGCTTTTAGCAATGGCGAGATCTGTGGAAGTGGAAACAGGGGAAAAAGGGGGTAGGGGGGGGGGGGGGGTGTTGAAGAGTCTTGTACATGTCTAAACACTTTATGATGTGAGGTATTATTACACATATATCTAACACTTTTAGCACCATATAATAAAATGAAGGTGTCTTAATTATATTGTGATAAAATCATGTGCTTGTGGTATTAACACTTTTTATGGGGTGCATTATGTTACTGTACTATCGACTCATTACTCCATGATGCGATGGGATGTATTTTATTTACGGCATTTCCTATCACCCCATGATAACCTGCCATTCTAGCGGTACACTGTTGGTATAGGCACCACTGGCGGATACCCTCTGCCTTTAATGCGTGTGTATGCTGTTGGTTTTGCCAGTGCTGTTAATTTTTCAACTTTTCACATGGAACAGTAATAGTGTAATTCTGATTTTTCACTGGTACAAGAATGGAGCAATGAGGGCGTGACCTGACTGCCGTGAAATCTGAACTGCCACTAACAACCGAGTCTACGGCTTGATGGATGGATGTTTGTCAGAGATTTCCTTGTCATGCCAGATGTTAAAAAAAGTAAAAAATAATTACAGTAAAAGACCCCTTAGACCGTAATGGGCCTATAGGGCTAGACCTATATTTTATAGACCAAACGGCGCTCGGTGGGGGATGTGGTCAGCATCATCCAGCCGCCTTCACTTTCCATTCCATACTTTACCTAGCACCCATTTAAGGCTGGGTCGACCTGGCAGTCAAGGTCGTTTAACAACAACAAAAAAAAAAGTCCGGCTCGGTCAGGACCCAAACCGACGACCTTGCACTCCGCATGCAAACGTCTAGCCGCTTCAACACGGCGGCTGTCATGCCTTGATGTGCTATATGTATTTTACTGAGGCCATGTCTAATCCATGTTCAAAATGCTACGACGGGTTATGGGTGCGTGTTTTATCACCTCCATATTCTAGACCAGCTCTCTCCCCCCCCCCCCCCCCCCCCCCCCCCCCGTTGGTAGTCCGCGTAACAACTGTGAGGATTCCGTGAATTCATCCGCGTGTCTGATATTTATAAATTACACATTGTTCTTCAGTACGACTGTTTAAAATGTGGGTTTCATTACTGACCTTTGGAAATAAGAGTGGTATACAAAGTATGGTAACAAGTAAAGTAAAGAATGTTTTTCCACGCCTCCGGGGGTATTGGGCCTATAGGGATTGACCTATATTTTCCAGACCAATCGGCACTCGTGGTGATGCGGCTAACATCACGCCGGCCAGCTTTACTTCCCAGTACTAAACCTGGTACCCAAGGCCGTCTTAACAGAAGGCTGGGCAATTGCTGGGGCCCCACGAGCATAGAGGCCACATGCTATTTTATGTAATACTAGATTTAATTGCTCGGCTTCGTCCAGGATTATGAAAGAAAGTCCAATTCTCCCGTCCTCTACCTTATCTTGCTATCCTATGCTGCAATATTTGTAGGCCCAGTTGAAAGAGGGGTCTAATTAAAATCCTATATTTATTAGGTCTATTTCGTCTTTGTTCCAAATCTTTAGTCATTTCATGAACCCGAGCTAAAATGCAAATTTAACAGTGTTAACCATGTATTGTATCCGGCACATACAGATTGGGGTATTAAGGAAAGGGGGTTTTTAAATTTTTTTTTTTTTTTTAATGGAATTAAAATTAAAAAATATCACAAAGGAATATACTATAATTACTGATGTCAACACGAAGTACACAAAAACTGGGCCGCCATGGTATTAAACATTATATAATGGCAATGTTATGCATTGGCGCAGTTTGTGAGTAGTGCATTTAATTTCTGCGAATAGTTATGACCATTTACATTTCGTTTCTGTGAATGGTTGTCATAGAGGCCCATATATTATTTCCAGGCGCCAGTAATGCTGTTAAGACGGCCCTGCTGGTACCCACTCAAGGCTATGGGTTGAACTGGAAGCCTAGGCCATTTTATTTTAAAAGTCTGGCTCTGCTAAGACCCGAACCCACGACTATCCCAGCCGCAGAGAGGGGTCTATAGGTCTTAGATAATTGTGGACCACTGTTCTAGTATGTACGTTTTTGTAAATTGTTTCCCTCCAGGGTGTGATGGAATGCATTCTGGCAGCAGCCGTAACAGGTGTTGGCTTTGCACTCTTCAGCGGTCAGCCTCTGAACATCCTTGGCAGCACGGGACCTATGTTGGTGCTTGAAAAAATCATTTACCAGTTCTGCAAGTAAGACATTTGATTCCATCTCCTGTCATATTGTATTCACGGACCAACTCAATTATCACTTCCGTATGTGCATATTCTATTGCTTTGCGATGCAAGTTATTTACCTCTTTCAGTCCCTGTGTGTGGGGATGGGTGGTGTTGGGGTGGGGAGGGGGGGGGGAGTGTTAACATCAGATTCCCAAAGGGTAGTAAATAGAGAAGTAAAACTGACACATCTTGCGTTCATTTGGCGTCTATGTAGGAACCTGTGAACGTATGATGCGTTTCTCCTGACTGACAGAGCAACGTTATGAGAATAGAGACACTGATGTGACAAATGGAAAGATTTATGAAATGAAAGATGGGAAAATGCAACACGAGAAAATTCTAAACAACCTTTTGTCATGGAAGAGAGGGGATGTGAGCACGCGAACGGTTACACACAGTTGAGATTGTCAGTTGTGGAAAGGCACGATCGCCCACGCCAGAAGGAAAAGTACTTGATAATAGTGATGTAAGTTAAACATGAGTGGTGAAGCTACTAGAGGAGAAGCAGACCGAACGGTTAAGACAATATATGTGTTTACAGATGGCCTGAATTTGAATCCTCCATAGTAATGTGCATATAATATTCCAGTGTATTATTCATAGTTAGTGTACATTGTGTGTGTGTGTGTGTGTGTGTGTGTGTGTGTGTGTGTGTGCGTGTGCTGTGTTCTATTTGTTTTCTGATAAAGGCTAACCGCCACAACGTTCTTTTTAATTGATTTTGTAAAGCTGAAATAAATATATTTTTTTTTTCTTATCCCTGTCTTCTCTTTCAAATAATTTCCTGACCTTTTTTAAAATATAAAAAGCAACAGAATTGTTTTCTGTCGGGAGCAAAAATTAAAATTCCCTAAACTCTACAATTCATGAAGCCCTATGTCCACGCGGCCCCAAATGCTCAAGCTTAAGACCTTCTTCTCCTCAGTCAATCAGTTAGTTGCCGTCTTCACAGTGAAGGTTGCATTCGATGAGCCGCCAAAAGACCCTGTCTTTCGTATTAATTGTACACACTCTCAGACTGCTATTCTTCCGTCTCTTGGTTTGTCTCCTGCCACTCTTTTCGCTGTCTTTCTCTGGTTCGCCTACCTTCAGTTCTTACCTCCGGTATGGTTTTTATGTGAGTGCTTGTATGTTAATGTGGTCAAAATATTGCATTGTCCCTATTTTAATTGTATTCAGCAACTCTCTTTTCCTTATGCAATATATTATTCTGTATATTGATATCTTCAGCGACTCTCTTTGACTCCCTCCTTGTCCCACACCATTTTTAAGGTTGCGATTCTTTTCACACTGGACCCGTATAAAGATATGTGGATTTAACATGCAACAAACACAAATTTGCTAACAACAACGTCACTTCTTCAACTGAAATATTTTAATGAGGAAGCATTTTATGAAATTTCTCCAAACATAACTTTCACATCGACGCAAACATGTTGACAGGAAACTTGTATGCAGTCATGTAGAAATGAATCTCGGCAGCCAGCTAGTTGTTCAATGTCAAGTGTTAGCTCTCTCTCTCTCTCTCTCTCTCTCTCTCTCTCTCTCTCTCTCTCTCTCTCTCTCTCTCTTTCGCTAACTCTCTGTCTGTCTGTCTGTCTGTCTGTCTGTCTGTCTGTCTGTCTGTCTGTCTGTCTGTCTGTCTGTCTGTCTGTCTGTCTGTCTGTCTGTCTGTCTGTCTGTCTGTCTGTCTGTCTGTCTGTCTGTCTGTCTGTCTGTCTGTCTGTCTGTCTTGTCTGTCCGTCCGTCCGTCCGTCCGTCCGTCTGTCTGTCTGTCTGTCTGTCTGTCTGTCTGTCTGTCTGTCTGTCTGTCTGTCTGTCTGTCGATTGGTCGGTCGCTCGGTCTGTCTCGCCCACCACCACCCACCCACACACTTTTTCACCTCGCCTGGGAGTAGTCAGAGCATAGACGTCCAAAATAAATGGTCTTGGATATAGAACCACACGGCACCAAAGTTTAGTAACTGACAAGGGGTCGACCCAGCTTAAAAAGAGCTTCTGAAAATGTCATGTGATGTAAATCACATCACTCCTTGCGCGCCAAATAGTCTACAGAATAGGGGTCTAGCACAGGGTTTTTATTATAGAACCAAAGGTGCCGGTAGTCACCACATAGTTTCTTTAAAATGTTGCAAGTACTTACTGCTGAGTGTCTATTACATGGAGCGCTTAAAAAAATGATGACTAAAAAGGTGCCGGTACTACTGACCATAGTATACCGTCAGAAAAAAAAAGCCCTGTCTATTATCTGTATCAGGTGCGATAGTGGTATGAAAAGTGCCCTGTATATATATATATATATAAAATTCGTTTTTCCTCTTTTCAGAGACAACAGCTGGGACTTCCTCCCATTTCGGTTCTGGATAGGAATTTGGACAACAGGAATGTTGCTCTTCATGGTAGCATTCGATCTCAGTGCGCTGGTTCGATACATCACCCGATTCACAGAGGAGAGCTTTGCTTCCCTGATTGCTCTGATCTTCATCTACGAAGCCTTCGCCAAACTGTTTGAAATCGCGCAAATCGATGCTCCACTGCGCCTCCATGCTTCAGCTGAGCCGGAGATGCCTTATTGTTACTGCAACTATTCTGCCCGTAAGTTTTAGACAACGCCTTCTTCAATTGCACAAAACGGGAATCCCCGTTGACCTGTTTTGGCCTATACATAGAGTAGGCCGTGGTTTTAGAGTACAGTATATGGCTTTAGCTTGTCGGGATATTTTGGATCAGCTAGGTCGGGCTGAGACGCCAATCCATTTTTTAAAATCCTTCTGCCGATAATGATTCAAGCATGAGACAACAGGGTCGCCAGAAAAACGTGCTAGCCACCGCTTCTCCATTACTGTTAGAAGTCAAGCCTCAAAACAAATACTGACTCTGAGCATTGAGGTGTGAAGTTTTGACCTTCGCACATTCTTCGCCCAAATGGGATGAAGTGGCTGATTTTCTTCCACGTTTCCCATCCATCCAAGATTATCAGATTATTACATGCATCATCAGGTGAACAAAAACTATGACTGGGATGTTCAACGAGAAAGAAATGGGTTAGGAGTTGGGGGAAAAGAGGGGGGGGGGGGGGGGGGGGGGGGGGATGACACAGACAGAAACAAAGGCCAAAGCCGTTGTAGACAAAAAAAAAAATAAGAAAAATGTTAGACACCAAGATAATTTCAGAATTTTCAGAAAATTGTCTAGTAACTTTTTGTGTGATGTTGGGTTTATCCCAAAACCATATCGGTTAAAAAATATATATAATACCGCTTCTGCTGGTATAAAATACCGGATCTTTATCTTGACCGGCAAAAAAGTCCTCTAAAGTTTCTCTTTCTCTCTCTCTCTCTCTCTCTCTCTCTCTCTCTCTCTCTCTCTCTCTCTTTCTCTGTGTGTATCTCTCCCACTTCCTCACACACACACACACACACACACACACACAACCACACACACTTTCTCTCTCTGTGACTCTCTTCGACTCTTACTCTCTCTCTCCCTCCCTCTTTCTCTTTATGTGTATCTAAAAGCGCGAACATACTATCATACCAGCTACTTTTTGCTTGTCTTCCAGCGGAGGGATGGAACTTCACATCAAGCCCACCTCCACTGGTCAACGTGTCGTTCAAGTCCTTGAACGAGTCCACGTGTTTTACCGAGGCCAGCATTTTGAACGCAACCATGGAAGGCAGTGTCAACTGGGTGTGCGAACCACCATACTACGTCCCGGACGCTTTCTTGTTCTCGTTCATCTTGTTTATGGCAACATTTTTTATCGCCATTTTCCTGGTAGACTTCAGGAGTTGGCCCTGTTTTCCTAGCTCTGTAAGTTGCAATTCTGTTGTGTACAAATTGTAAACATGATGTTTTGTTTTGTTTGGTTGTGATTATTTAAAATTTCACTAAAGGACCTATTTTATTTCGTGGAAAAAAAAAAGGGGGAAGGGGGATAGACTCACCGCTGCCCTACCAAGCTTATCGTAAGAGTCGACTAATTAGGGATTCATTTGAAGTCGTGGTATATCTACCAACAGCCTCATTACAAATAAGTCAGATCTGTAAAACGGATTTGCACACAAAACTCAAGTAGGAACAAGAATAAAGTCCAGAAGTGGACTAACAACCACAACTTTCCGCCGGAGTTTACAGATGTTGAACGCGAAGAAAAAAAAGAAGATTACTTGTAATGTATTTATTTCTGTCGCTGGCAGTTGATACATAAATCGTTTCCATCTTAACAGACATGTTTTTTTAAAAAGACCCATGATTCTTTTCTGTTAAGTCACCACATCACGTGTGATTTAGGGAAATCGCATAGTAAAGTTCCATTAATCTACAACTGTTGCACACGTCCCTCCTTGGAGAACCCAAATATGCTTATAACAGAGTTTGTAGCGTAATTACGTGACATTCTCATAGTTCACCCTTAAATCGCTGCTTCTCTGATCCTGCCAAATAGAGGTTTTCATTTACTGTTATTGCCCCAAACCCTGACCCATTTAGCCAGAATCTAGGTTAATGACACCCGATCTGAAACAACCATTACAAAAATTAGTAACCACGGAAATGAGTTGTCTGAGAAAAGCTGGAGCAGTGTCCAGAAGAGTTGAAATCGTGGATGAAGTCATAACAGAATAGGTCGGCACAGAACCAATAGTACATTCCATTGCAAGCACAGCACTTGACATGATTTGTCCACTTAGAGATAGAGATAGTGCGATGGCGATCCTGCTCTCAGTCATAGGCAGATGGAGACGATGGAAAGGATACAGGACGAGGCTGTGCCCATTATACTTTGATGTACACGAGATACAGCTTGCAAGGCGATGCGCTATCTTCTGAATTGTTCCAACCTTAGAGGACAGAATACAAATTTAACGAGCATGTGCCTACCTCAGAATCAGCGCATACACGCGATATCCGCTGCATAGTTAAATTAGGAATGAGAAAAAAGGCAGCAGATACACACACACACACACACAAAAACCAGACACACACATACTAATCGTGTGTTTAACTAACCAAGTGAGGAATGGATGTAAGTACTTTCAGAATGTTGTACGATCTTTTCTGTTTGCAACCCAGTAGGTAGAAAATGCAGACAAGAAAGTCAGGCCACGGTTGAGGCAGAAGCGCAAGCTTTGATTTCGAGACTTCTCTACATGTGGATGCTGTCATTTACACCGATGGGTCCGGGATTCGCCGTGTGTGAAACTCTTGGGCTTTTACGGCTCCGGTTAGAGCTGTGAAGCAAGAATATTGTGCTGTTGCTTTCACCAAACGCAGTCTGACTATGGAGGTCGTGACAGCAATAGCATGGCAGGACGCACCGACCTTTTCCTGCGCATGCTTTCTCAGTGACAGTGTGTATGCTCAAAAAGATAGAGATGTGCTGGGTCTGAAGACAGTGGTTGGAGTCTCTAAAGCAGTTGGGGTTAACATATATTAGTTTCATGTTTGTGCCGCAGGTGTGCCAGGAAATTAGCATACTGATAGGCCTGCAGGTAAAACAACTGTGGAGGGCGGACGAGCTATGGACCACGCAGATATTCTGATTGTTCTACGAGCATTAAGAAGTTTGCGAAAACCAAATGAGACTGCAAATCTGCAAACATGACCAGACTGTAAGAACAACATATTAAATGGGGTATGGCCAAACAACAGCGCAATGCAGGAAACAAAAGAAGAATAAAAGACCAGCGAAGAACTGTGTCATCAGCCGCTACACGCTGCGGGTTTATCAAGGAGGTGATCCCAGCACGTATGGTCTGAATGGCTCGATGTGCAGTGCGGATAATCTGCCGACTATCTGGCTAACTAACTAGCTATACCAACATCTCCATAGACACCGTTCGCCCAACTAATTTTTCCTTACTGTTCAGGTGTTTGTGCAACACAGTGGGTTCAATATGCATTCCATTTGATAGATACCCTGAGTGTGATGAGTGGCTTTCTTTTGAATCTAAAAGGCCAAGTGGATATTTGCAAATGTTTAGTACTATACATATACTAGAAGAGGTTGGTTGAAAACGGGGAAAGTTCGGTGTCCAATGTTTTGGGGACTGACTGACTTGACTTGCAGCGAAGTTGGTCTGACGACTAACTGAAGAACAAATATATTTGTTTATTTTAGGTTCGTCAGTTACTTGGAGACTTCTCTGTGCTAATTGCTATTTTGTCAATGGTCGGAGTTGATGCAGCATTAGGTCTTCGAACACCGAAGCTCATTGTACCAGCAGAATTCAAGGTAGGAATACTATATCCTTACCATCATCAGCATCATTGTGCACTGCAAGGATAAGTGTAGGCTGTCACGTTTCACCGTCTCACATGATCACCAGAATCACAGATCAGATTAGTTTTTTTGTCTTGTGCCATTCATATGGCTAAACCATGGAGGCATGCATCTCTTTACCTTTAACTTTCTATTTTTTTTTTCCCCATCAATCGTCATCATGTTCTCGAGTCTATTAGTTCTCAGATCCGAAAAATGCTGACTGTCTTGTCATTTTTCTGTCATTTCATAGTATTCTTTGTATTTTTCTCAAAATCCACATCTCCACTGCGAGTAAATGTTTTCAGCCTGTCTGTTTATATTCCATATCTCAATTGCCTATAACAACACACGCTCTATCTAAATAGCACTTTACCACTATTTTCTCACTGTAGTGGACATCTTGTGATTGGTTACTACCATTTGATTGCTATATGTATTACAACAAAATTACAGTTATGACAGTTAATAACTAATTTGAAGCAGTTCGTGATGGCAGAGGCAGATGACACCACTATCCTTATAAGCTTAGTTGAACATGTCAGGTTTGGTGATAAATGTATTGACAGACCGGAACAATTTCAGGAGCACATTTAGGTTATAATCGCCGTGGGCAGGTATTGCAGAGAGTTAAGAGCCAATTATCTGCTGATGCTGAAATAAAGGCCCTCATTCACATGCACACTCGACCAGGTGACATTATCATCTACACATATAGCGTGTAGATCCAGTTTGTTTTCTGTAACAGTCATGACATATATTCGTGGAATGCTTACTGCGGTGGCTTACAGGGCCAGAAACCTGGCACTAATCCCTAGGACTGCAATATTTTTTTGTCCAGTCTTGCGTCGCTCAGAAGTCAGCATGTCTATAACATTTAGTTAGGTTGCAAAGAAAGAGATCAAGAATGTGAAATGTGCACACTTTGAAAATTATGTTACAGGTAATATTCTCATAAACGAAAACATAACTGGTAATGCTGTGTAGGCTATAGCTAAGAACTGAATAACGTTCTTGCTTACAGCCGACCAAATACTATGCAAGAAGTTGGGTAGTCAACCCTGTGGACAGTTCCAACCCGTGGTGGCTGGCTTTGGCAGCTTGTCTTCCTGCAATTCTGGCCACAATTCTCATCTTCATGGATCAGCAGATCACAGCTGTTATTGTCAATCGGAGAGAAAACAAACTTAAGGTGAGAATAAGCGACATTATTTTTGCACTCCCACATTCTGTTATAAAATTCTTCATTTATATTTATGTATTTCACTGGAATTTAGAGAGGGTTGTATCTAGTTTTCTTGTTCTATGTTAAACTTAAAATGATGGTTGGCACATTGTGTTATTTATTCTTTACATCTAGGCTGTAATATCTACACAATTCTGTCCAACATATCTGACCCATAGCTAGTCGCCTTCTGTGACATGCTTTTTTAAGGGATATACTGGGTCAGTTCCCTCCCCCCCGCCCACTACCCCCCCCCCTCCCCACCTCCCCCCCCTTCCCGGGAACTGAAACTAACATGGAGATAATGGACACATAGTGCTATCCATTAAATATTTTAGACCAGTTACCACTCAGTGAGTAATGTGGTCAGTTTCATGCCTAGAATTTTACTTCCAGTAAGAACTCCACAGGGGAGCATGTACAGCAGGAGTCCACCGATCATCAATATAAAGATTCCTCGTTGACAATTGTTTCGGCCCATTACCTCCTATACAATCTCGGAGGGTGGGCCGACCTGGGTCATGACGCCAAGACCTTGATCTTCTCTTGCTGTACTTATTTGGACTCTCGGACAGGGACAAGACAAAATGGTGACTATGCAACGGGTACTTCCGATTCCAATTTCTTTTGAGAATTGAAAAATTAAAAGGTCGACCCGCTTTCAGACTGCTGCTAGCAAGCCGATGCTGCTAACAGTCTCCGCCTATGTTTGTGGTCTGGGTTATTTGCGTCACTTTCGTGACTAAATTTGTTATTTGCCCCGTCTTCTGGGCTTAATTCTTCCTTCCCAGTCAGACCGCTCGTCCTCCACCCTGTTGTTAGCTGTGTATTTCTTTCCTTTTCTTACTTGGTGTTTGCTCTTGGTTTTATCTCCCTCTAATTTGGCCATGCGTATTTCGTAGGAGAGCTAGTTTTTCTACACAACGTCTTTTGGACCACCATTTACAGTTTAACAATTTTTAGTATTTTATTTTGCCAAAAAGTACTAAAATAAGTTTTTGGTTCCGAAATGTGAAAATATTCCGCGCGCGACCATGCGGTCTTATCGTTGTCTTCCTGTAATAAGAACGGGTTAGTCATGTCGTGGATATGTGTGTGAAATGTTATGTTGAACCTCAAAGCGGGTCTATTCGTCAGTTGTTAGTACGTGATCCGGTTGTGTCTGTTTGGGTTGGCAGCTAGGCTCCGATGTACCTAAATACCATATTCCCATATTTACGCTTTGAGATCCAAATGTTCGGCGATGAGAATAGCTGTGGCATGTTGGGTATCGAACTCAAGTGCTCTCTGTGGGAAAGGGGTGGGGGATTGAACTCATAGAGAATCCGAAAGAGGTAGGGAAGGGTGAGGAAAAAAGGGGCGGGAGGCCATTCAGTCATTTCTCGTCGTTGCCGTCTTGCTGGATTCTAGCGTGGCCTTTAGTCGGGATTATATGTATCACGTCACCAATCTTTGCTATAAGCCCACTGATGATGTGGTATTGGTGGTTAAGTGTTCTAGTCCTCTGAGTATCGATTCACTTGTTTTCCCTATTTGCTGTCAGTCATATCTTGTTGTGAGCCACACCGGTCAGGTTTATGTTGTATGCATGATGTGGAATGGGGGGGGGGGGGGGGGGGGGGGTTTTTGAATATGAATCCCGGGAGTATATGGACGCACACAACTAAGTGTATGCGTACATTTAACGGGTATTGTGAGATTCGAATTTATATACATTGTCGCTGCGGTAGCCAATTAGATCAGCCGACTACCATAACGACCAAGTGACAAGCTTACGATTGGTTCATCGGACACATGTTAGACTTTGGCATTTGACACAGATCCTGCTGCACAAATTAGGCTGAAAGGCCAGGTTCATGTTGAGGACAGAGTACTCTGTAGTAAAATACTTATCCTTTTTTGGAAAAAAAATAAAAACAGTTGTTTGTTTCCAATGTTCAATGTTGTTGTTGTGATTTATTTTAAGCATTGTCGGATTAACGAGACGACCATACATCTTCACACATCTCAGTTCATGGGAGCTACATGGTCTCGAGGCATGGTATCCGCCGCGTAGGTGCTATGGGTTCCGGGTTAAATCCCCGGTAAGCCTGGGATTTTTTTTTTTTCATGTGGACTTTGACTTCTAGTAATCCCCCTGGTATCTGGGTAGTGAGATCGGACGCCCGTGTGCATTGTTGGGCACGTAGAAAAAAATCACCTGGCAGTTGGAAATCGAAAAGAGTAGCCTAATCGGCGCTGCCCGGACAAAATTTGAAGTTAGAAATCTACCCATAGTATTTAAGGATCCTCGCCGGCGCTACAGAGCCTGTGCACTGTGCTGAGCTTCTTCAGACTCAAACTTGAGTTAGAGGAAGAAACCGAGCATTTATGGATTACACCCGTGGGCTATGATGTTGATCCGTTGTTCAAAACCTCAAACCTCAGTTCATGTTGGTCCGAGTCACTTCTTATGATTTTACTGCATTCCACTATATTAGAACATTTTTCCTGCTGCTTCCTCCACCCTTAATTTTTCCACTTGTCATATTTCCCATGCCTCTGTTATCATCACATGAATGGGGGGGGGGGGGGGGGGGGGGGGGGGGGGGGGGGGGGGGGGGGGGGGGGTGGGGGGGGGAACTGTGTCTCTTTCTAATAGTTACATATAATGATTTACTTCCGTAGCTTTTTTATAGGTAATTTATAAAGTTACCCAGGTTTTTAAAGGTATTCCCAGTGTTTTTCTCAGAAACTACATCCCCGTTTGCTTTAAAGCGTTTGCTATATTATTTCAACATACTGATTTACTGTTTTAAGAATCATCATAGCATACTGGGTGTACCCATAGATGTTTAGTCTCCTATAGGAAACGTTTTGAGGTGCAGATGCTGATTCTTTGTAGAGCACTGATTGTACCCATGTCACTAACTTCCTTTCCTACATTCATTCTTGCTGGATCCACATTTTATTCACACAACCTTTCCCCTTATTTGACCTAACATTATTTCTCCCATCAGGGCACGTTCATAGATAGTTTTCAGAATGTCTCCCTTATCTTGAATATAATTGCAGCTACCATATTGTTTGCTGCAACAACAGCAACAACTGATCATTCATTCGCTTGATTTCCTGCATGTCTTGTTCAGTATCTCCATGACATCATCATCATGTAGCAGGTTCTTTGCAGAACGTCGCTGTCATTACAGTCTGCCTGAAAGAAACTCGGTCTCTCGCCAGTTCTCCCGCCTCATGCATTTTCACATTCAAGGAGTGACCTATATCCTGTGCACATCGTGTCGGTCGGCCCCTGCCCCTCCTTCCTGGTACCATGCCTTCTGCTATAATTTTTTCCAATCCGTCGTGGCGCTTGATATGACCAAAATATTTCAGCTTTCGAGATGCATGACAGTGCCTGTAATTTGGATGTGGTGGTACTCTGTATGCTTTGGCACAACATTTCAGTTTTCTCTTTCTGGTATTTAAAATAAAGTGATTGCAAAAAATAATAATAATTAGAGAGCAGCAGATAAAATAGTTTGTCCATCTGACAAGAATGCGTTGGTACCAGCTGCCACAGAGATCCATGTTGAAGAAATGTAATGAACATAGAGCAAGGTAAAATCCATGCCGAAGATGAAAAGATGTAAAAAATATCCTTAGAGAAATGAAGACCAACCTTTACAACTCATTAGAAGGAGCACATAAATAAATGGTTCTTGTATCTCCCCCCAAGCACTTCACTGGGGTAACTGTAGGAAGAGAAAAAGATAGTGAATATGAATACAGAAATATGCTTTTTTTTTACAGAAAGGTAAAGGCTACCATCTAGATCTGCTTGTGCTGGCAATCCTTGTGGCCCTACACTCCCTTCTGGGTCTGCCTTGGTACGTAGCAGCCACTGTGTCTGCTATCGCTCACATTAACTCGTTAAAAAAACAGTCAGAATGCACTGCTCCTGGAGAGAAACCATCCTTCCTGGGAGTCAGGTAATTATTCGTTGTCAGCATTGGCAATTAGTATTGATACTTTTATTAATTTATTTATAAGTAGTTATAATTTCGCAGCGACAGTAGCTTAGGCATTGCGAGTCCAACTCGTAATTCCAACGTACCGCGATCTAAACCCACTGCTGGCTGCATGGATTATCAGGGTATTGGGCGTCGCAGATCGACCCAGCCTAAAATGGGTACCAGGATGTATAACCTGGGGAAGTAAAGACGGCCGGTGTAATGTTGACCACATTACTAAGCCGATTGGTCTGTAAAAATATGGTTGCTCTTCCAATAAGCCCTATGCGCCTAAAGGCGTGAAAAGTGATCTTTACAAATTTACTACTTTACTTAGTTATAACTTCACTTTGAAAAAAAAAAGTCAGGGGAAAAGCGAGGGGGGGGGGGGGGGGGGGGGGAGACAAAAAGATTAATCATATATGGAACATGTGTAGCCTTAAATAAATATCAATAACTGTATACACTAAAATCACCCAAAATTACATGAAAAGACCTCTGCCTCTTCTCTAAGGAACCAGACTTGTTATAGCAGTTCTTTCTGCAGCTTTTAATATGGTTGAAGTATTTCAGTTTCTTATTTATAGTGCAGTTTGCCTGCTAGTAATAAGATACAACCAAAATAATATAAGTAGGTAGGAGACGGTGACAAACAAAAATAGTAGAATAAAATTACAACAAAATTGTAAAAACAATTTTACTTATCTGAAACACTTATTCTTCTTGTTCTTCTTCATGTTCACCAGCTGTAAACTCTGACAGAAAATTCTGGTTGTTCATCTACTTTTGGACTTTGGTCTTGTTCTAGAATTTGAGTTTTTCCTGCCCATCAATTTTAAAGATGTGGCTTATTTGTATTTGAACTGTTAGTTCCTCGCCTCTCAAGCTGGTGTACTGTAACTTCAAAACAAACACCCCTAAATAGTAGACTATTATGTCTTGCTTTTGGTGAGGAGAGGGAATGGGTCTGTTTTTTCCCTTTCCCAAAATTGGGCCCCCTGAACCCAAATAATGAATCTGAAACGCTAAGAACCATCTTAACACATGGATGCACACAAGCAGCAATTTAACAGTAAGGTCACAGAATTACTCCTAATCTTTTGTCACAAGGTATAAAAAAAAATTCTTAAGATCTGTCCCAGTATGTGACTTAATTTTTATTGTTTATTTTTAAGCCCCACCCCGCCTGTCGTCGGGGCCCCTCATATAACCAACAGTCGAACGTGGCTTTTGGGACTTGTGCCTCGTCCAAATGGTGGCACTTTGTGTCACCAAGTGTTAATTGCTCACTGTGCATTCCTGGTGAGGTTGAACTCACTCAACAAATCCATAGTAAAATACTATTACAAATGTTTTCTGTTCTCCCCAACAGAGAACAACGTGTGACAGCATTGTTGGTTGCTATACTGTCTGGTGCTGCAGTGTTCATTACAAATATTCTGAAGGTAAGCCAAAACAATTAAGACATTCTTCTTCTTCTTCTGTGTTTACCCTTGAAATGGAAGTTTGCACATTGTTTTCAGGTTTATAGCTAGACTGTATTTTTCTTCTTTGTTCTTCTTCGGGTTCACGGCTGTAAACTTTAGTGGAAAGTTCTGGTTGTTTATCTTCTTCTGGGCATTAACCGTGTTCTAGAACTTGAGTTTTGCATGCACATCTATTTCACTGATTTGGCTTATTTGTATGCAGACTGTTGGTTCCTTCCTGTTTCAGACACATGCACTCCAATTTTGAAGGAAACCCCTAATTAGTCGACTCTTACAACATGCTTTTTGCAGAGGCAGTGGATATCTTAATTCTTTCCCCACAATTGGAACACCTAGGCTGTGATACTTTCACCTTTCAGTCCAACACATACAATCTCAGCAAATCCCTAATTAGTTGCCTTTCAGCACATGCTTGGGTCTATTCCTCACACTTTGTGAGGGTTGTTCACAACTGTATCCAACCCGCATTCCAATGAACGCTCACAAGGGTGTACAATCCACATTTCAGTGCTTGTTCAGGTAATCACAGTTCCAACTTCCCCGTGTGGGTTCCGAGGCCCTATTATTGGGAAAAAAAAGAACAGACCTACTGCCTATCCAAAAGCATGTCGTAAGTGGGAGCTTCCTTTGAAGTCAGAGTGCATCTGCCTGAGAGACAAGGAACCAGCTGTCTGCATACAAATAAGTCAGATTGGTAAAACAGATGCACATGCAACACTTATGTTCTGGAACAGGGCTGCAGTCAAGAAGTGGATGAACAACCTGAATTTTCCGCCTGACTTTACAGAGGGTAAATGTGAAGAAGAAGAAGACAGTTCCAATTTCATAGCAAATGGGTCACCCTATTGTTGCCCCCTTCCTGTACCAGTGAAAATGACACAAAATGTTCATCACTTTCCTTGTAACAAAACTGACACAGACTGCAGTCTCAGCATCCAATAGCATACACATAGATTGAATGCATAATGCAGATGTTAGAAGTGCCATTACGAAAAAGGCCAGATTAGAAGTTCAGTTCATCATTGATGGAAGCAACAGAGCAATCAATCACATAAGGCACCATTAGTTTTTTGGCAACTGCCCACTTGCCATTTACTGAAATTGCAGTTCACAGCACAAGCCACTTTGGGCACAGTTGAAAAGCAATCCAAATGCAATCTGCAGCTCACAGTATTGCACTGTGCACTCAACTCAGTAGCCTGACAATAGAATTATATCCTTTCAGTCTATATATGGAGGGAAATGCAATGGCCGACTATTTTAGGAAGGAAAATTCTGCCACAACTAAAAACAATAAGCCCAGCCTATCCACCATACTGACTGGAAGTCCTTCAGGGATTACTCATAGCTGTGTACAGCATACATTTCAGTAATTGTTCACATATGTGTATGCGCCACTTGTGTGCGGCCCACTTTCCAGTCATTGTTCGTAAATGTGTACGAGCCACATGTGTGCAGCCCACATTTCAGTGATTGTTCGCAAATGTGTGAAAGCCATATGTGTGCAGCTCACATTTCAGGGATTGTTCACAAATGTGTACAACACAGATGTATGCAACCCTCATTCTAGTGATTGTTCAGAAATGTATACAGCCCACTTTCTAGGCTTGTTCACAGCTATGTATCAACTCCCCCCTCCCCCTCCTTTCCCCCCTCAAACCACTGGTTGTTCAGCACTGCACATAAATAATGTGTTAATATCCCTATGTTGACAGGTAATTCCAATGCCAGTCCTGTATGGAGTCTTCTTGTACATGGGGTATTCTGCTTTGAGAGGCATGCAGGTAAATATTGTAACCTCTTTTCTTCCTGAACTAGTTTATCATATCCAAACATGTTTGAAACAAATCATACTCACCATGCCGTCCCCATTTGGGATGCAATTTTTCATTATTTGAAGCCCCACCTGGCTTTTGCTGGGGGCTGTAAATGTAGCCGACCATAAATATGGCCTAATGGCTGAACGGGGTTTCTGAGACCTCTATACAGGTGATCCTCATCCGCATGGTGGCACTTTGTGTCACCGGGTGTTTATCGATTTGTGTGATGCCCTGGTGGAGTGCAACTTATATACATATATACATACAAATCATACTTTAATCACCTTGAAATTTTCCACAAACATATCTTGTACAGATAGGGAAATAAACAGTGAGTGACTAGAAAAAGCTAATGCAAGCAGAAAGCTATGCATAGCTATGAGAAGGGAGCCGTTGTAGCATAGAGTCTAGATTAGTGGTTCTCAACCTGTGGGTCGCGACCCTTTTTTGGTTTGAACGAACCTTTCATAGGGTTGGCCTAAGACCATGGGAAAACACATATACACTCAAGTTATGATGTAGTAACGAAAATAATTGTATATGTTTGGGAAGTTCCCACAACATGAGGACCTGTATTAAAGGGTCACTACATTACAATGGTTGAGAGCCACTGGTCTAGATGCTCACCTGCTGGCCTAAAGGTCATAGGTTCGAATACTCATCAAGCCATTTTTCAACAAAATAATGATTTTGGCTTCCAAGTTCAACCCAGCCTAAAATAGGCACTAGCTTGAGTCCCCGGAAGTAAAGGCAGACAGGATGGTTTTCAAAAATGGCCAAGGTGATTGAAGTGCCGATTGAACCCTTAAAAATAAAAATAAGCCTTTGGCATCATATATCCAGAGATGAAGGTCATAACCGAAACCATTTTCATTGGTCATATGTTTAATGTGACAGAACAGGCGTCATCAGCCCTTTCACACTTCTGGAGCTTTAGAGGAGGAGACTAAAGCACCTATGGATCAGTTTGAAGTGCTGTGATAATAATCCTTACTAATCACTAATCACTTTCAGACCACTTAGTAAATCATTGATTTTTCCATACTGTTAAGGAGTATTGCATCAATTACTCACTATCTTAGGACAACAAAAGACAATCCTTGCAGCCATCATTCTGCTCCCATATAACATTTGATGCAATACTCCATAATAATGTGGAATATCAATTGTCATAAACTTTTGACCACTTCTGCAATAGTAGAAATGATGATGATGATGATACATAGCTAATCAGACTTATTGCTAAGCATAGGAGAATACCTGCAACATTTGGACCAAAAGGCACATGATTACATGACTTCTAAAACATCTTTAGATTAATGATGATGGTGTGGATGATACCTAACTAAGCAGAAACTATATATACATTATAAATGCCCGGCTCTCTAGCGTAGTTGGTTAAACCTGACTTTCCTTGTGGTCCGGGCTCACTCCCAGGGGTAGGCAGAAAAGCCACATTTCTCCCAGATTTACGGTACCTATAATGGAATCAAGGCCGAATGGTTGCAATATCCATAGTACCGAGCCAAAGGGTTTACAACTCATGGTTTCTGGATACTTTAAAAAAAATACATTATAAATATGACTATAAACATATCCAAATATGAATTTTCATTTGTTTTGATTGACAGAAATGAAATGTCACTGACCACATGTGTATTTTTGTTTCAGTTTATCGATCGTGTTATGCTTATCTTCATGCCAGTTAAGTATCAACCGGACCACATCTACTTGCGACATGTTCCCTTATGGCGGGTGCACATATTTACACTTATCCAGGCTATTTGCCTGATTGCACTGTGGGTTGTGAAAAGTATAAAGAGTGTCTCTATTATCTTTCCCTTGCTGGTGGGTATATAGGATAATTTTTTTTATATTTTTATTTCTATTCACATAGTTGAAAGAATAAATGCATTTCCATCCCTCTGGATTAGGTTATCAAGTGCTATGTTTCACATATTCTAGATTGAGGCTGGTTGGGCTGTTTTATATGTATATATGTGTGTGCATTTGTGTGTGTGTGTGTGTGTCATGTATGTGTGTATGTATGTATGTAATTATGCATTTGCCGTTAATGTTTAATTTTGTTTTAAATTTTTAACTTATATTCACATTTTATTTATTGCTATCAATATAACATGCTGTATATTGTTGTTGTAGTTTTTGTCAGTGAAGGTTGCTGATGAAACATCTTATTGTTTCTGTGTATGTGTTTATCCCCTTTCCCACCATCATTAAGCTTTTTAGTCACCATCAGCGGATTATTTTCTGCGTTATACAGTAATTGAGAAAGTATTTTTTTTTTCTCAGTAATGGACATTTATATTTTTTCAAACATAAGTTTTGCTTCCCTTCTATTTAACTTTTACTTAACATCTATATAGCAGAATATCTAAAGAAGCAAGTTCTGATTCAAACAACATAGACCTTTATAATTATGAGGAAGTAAACACACCAGGAAAAGTTATCGATTCACCCACATTAAACGAACTACTATTTGCTGATGACCAGTGCATGTTCTAGCCTGAAGAAGATAGACTGCAAGACCACATTAACAGGTTAAACGCAGCATGCAGTAAATACAACATGAAGATCAATGCAAACAAAACCGAAACAATGCAAGTTAGTAGAACCCCTGCCCCACTACACACACAGCTGAATGGATCTGCTCTGAATAAAGTTGGGGAGTTTAAATATCTAGGAAGTATGATCACAGAAGATAGTAGAATTGACAGAGAAATAGAAACCAGATGTCAGAAAGCAGGTTCACTTATATACCAATTGTCACCATTATTAAGACCTCGAAGCATAACTATGAGTACAAAGAGACAGATAATTAATAGCATATTCATTCCGACATTAAACTACTAGTGCCAAACATGGACACTATCTAAAGCCCATATACACAAAATCACCACCTGCGAGATGAGATGCCTGAGAAAAGCAGCCAACCTAACCATCCGAGATTGAGTGAATAAACTATCAGGCAAATTGTGGGAACGACACCTTGTACTAGATTCATCGAGAAACAGCAGATCAAGTGGTTTGGCCATCTCGTTAGAATGCAGCAAGATCAAATACCATCACAAGCACGACATCTCAGAAGATCAGCTACAAGAGCAAGAGGACGGCCATGGAAAATATGGTTCGACAACATTAAAGACACTCTTCATGGCATGACAATAGAAAAGTGGCAGCCAATGTGCACTGGACCGCAAATTATTCCTCCCTCCGATGCTTAACGGCAGAGGTGGTTTATGATGATGATGATGATGAAGTTTTGCTTATTTCATGATATATCATGCATTTAAGATAATTCTGGTATTCACTTTACATTAGTGTCCTTACCCACACAAAACAGCAGGTCACGCCAGTAGCCGTAATGGGTGCTAATATTTATAACTTTTTTTGGGAAGTGGAACGGAGTATCTAGGATTTACCTTGTTGTTCTGCCGTCCATATTCAGATTTTTAAATCTCGGGGTGTCCAACCTTCAGGTAGCAGCCTGGAGGGAAGAAAATGTATTGTATTCGCATTGTACTGCATATCCAGGAGTATATTTGCGGTTTCCCATAAATGATTTGAGTTAGTATTCTTTTGCTTCTCAAAGTTACATGTGTTGCACATAAAGCCTATTGTCTGTCACTGTTTATGAATGATCTTTCTACACTAAAACTAATAAGAAAATGTCCTCTTTTCCAGGTACTATTCACTGGAGTGGTGAGAAAAATACTTGAATGCATGTATACACAAAATGAACTCAAGTATCTAGATGACCTCCTTCCATCTTCTAAAAAAAGTACTAAACATGACAAGAAGAAATCGATAGAGGACTCAGAAGACAAGGTAAGAATGCATTTTAGTCATTACCTCTTTCGGTAACATGAAATGTGCCTTGAGTTTATTGATCAAGCAATGGCATTCTTTTGCACTTTCTCTTATAGGCCGTGCTATGTGGGGTTGGTAGTCATGTCTATCTACAACCTTCTGTCTCATATGCTTTCAGTCAGTTCTGACACAGATGACCGTCCATGGACATGAAACCATACTGTCCAGCATCTTCTCTCTCAGTCGCCCTCTGACTCTTTTCCCCTCCAGCTGTCCCACCATCACAATGTAGTCCAGCATTCTCCATCTTCTGATGTGATGTACACCCGGAAAAGGTATCTGTTTTGTGGTGTTCTCTAGACAACAGAATCGTTACAGCTAATGTCACAAGTCTCACGACAGATGGTAAGAACGTCAACAGAGAGAGCAAATTGAAGTATCTGGGAATTACATTTGACAGGAGCCTGTCCTTTAAGGACCATGTGTAGAGTGTTGTGACAAGATGCCAAAAAAGATCCTGTCAGGGGTTGATTATAGCCTGGAACTGCTTACCGTCTCAAAGAGTCAGATGGACAAACTAGAGCGCTTACAGAACGCAGCTATGCAGGTCATTCTGGGTTGCACCAGAGACACCCCAGTGGTGTGTATGTGATACATCCTTGGTTTGCCGACTGTTGCAGGTAGGCACAAGATGCTGCAGGCGAAGTCATATCTCAGGGTAGCTGCAGACACAGACTACCCTCTGCATGAAGCTCTGGGTGCAGTTTAGAGTCAGCGGCTGACAAGAGGGAAGTCATGGATGGCTCAGCAGAAGACACAATCAGACAGGTTTGCATCCTTGAGAAAATTAGGCGAGGAGAGGAGTGGGTCAAAGTGCCACCTGAACAGTCAGACCTGTGTAGGGTCATAAACACACTGAGCCGGGAATGCAGAGACCGGCCAGCAGGTGCCACTGAGATGGAAATTCAGCAATAATTACAATTTATTAAATTTGCTCTCTCAGATGTAATTAATGTTTGGATCACATGAATGAAAGTACTTTGAGAGAGAAGTTTAAGTAACAAGTGAAGCAGCGTCAGTTGGTGAACAATTAGATGAGGCATAAGGAGTCAAGAAAATGTATGTCAGTAGAACCAAACAAACACAGGGTAAGTTTATCATGGCCAAATTCTGGCTGTGCCCGACACTCATGGAACAAGCAAGTCAGACATGCAATCAGACTGGTACCATTAGAAGCTGTGATGTTGGTTCTTAACTCATAACTCATAATGTGGGATAAATGAGTTAAACTAACTTATGCTTCTAAACTCCTCAGATTTCAACTGTTGGCTCTGACAGTCATTATGGCAAATACAATGGAACCAGTAAAGATCTCAATGAGAGCAACATAGACAAGCCATCCATACTAACTCACAGTGGTAGCCCTGCCAATGCCAACCATTTTGCAACCGCTGGCAAAGCTTCATTCTATATGAATGATGAGCACCGTGACAGCAGTGAAATGCCTCCAGCTTATGACAACAAAGGCTTTGATACAAAATTATGATTGGCCAGTTCTTTTATGTTGTCCCGCCTACTGTTATAACATTTTGTTGGTGTTGTAATTAAATTTACTGTTTTTAAAAAGCTAGTGTATTAAGATTACTTGAAGTGCATTTCAACAAAAGTTGATTAAGAGGGTCAAAATTAAGCTCATTGACCTAGCCTTGAATGGGTACCAGGTGGAGTCCTGGGAGGTAAAGGTGGCTGGTGTGATGCTGACCACATCACCCACCAAGTGCATATTAGATCTATAAAATATTGGTCCAGCCCTATGTGCCCAATATGCCTGAAGGCATGAAAAGGGACCTTTACTTTTATTTATAGCACTGTGGAGAATTAACATATGCTCCATTCAGTTAGGAAAAGAAGGAGCAGCTGGCCGAACGGTTAGAATGCTGGGCTCTCAAGCGGGAGACCTGGGTTCGAATCCTCGGTAAGGCTGGGGATTTTTTCATTTGGGGGCAAAATAAAATCCTCACCTGCAGTCGTGGCGACAGCACCAGCCATGCGGCCATCAATCCTCAGGCTCAAAGACTTCCCCCCCCCCCTCCCCCACCCCCCTGCCTACACCTCAAAAGTGGTAATTAGGGCAGTTATTGAAAATTTCAATTAGGAAAAGGCTGCAGAGTAATTTTAATTAAAACACAACTGGTAAACCATGGAACAGTCACAACCTCTGATGCAGATGAATTGTACAGATCTGAATAAGAATTGCCATGACAAAAGTACATGTGCAAAAAGTTTGTTAGTTAGAGGACTTTGCAAACCATAACCAGCATGTATTAGTTATTTTATTCATATTTTACTAGGCAGTTTTTACGTTCAGTAGTTTGCCATTGCTTTCTCAATGGTCAGCTCTCAGCCCAATTGTTGAAAATAATGCAAAGTAACCTGATACCCAGTGGGCCACAGCTGGAATCAAACTGGGTATTTCAGAAATACAAACCATATTCGCAACCCTTAAAGCCAATGACACCAAGGAAAAAGGTTTCAGACATAGTGAATATAAGAAAGATGTAAAACGAACTACTAGATTTAACAAAGGTATATGAAAGCCATGGGAGCTGCCATGGTGTAGCAGCTAGACACTCGCCTGCAGATCCAAGGGTCGTGAGTTCAAATCCAAAATGGAGCCGAGCTGTTTTAAAAAAATGACCTTGGCACCCTTGGCTTTTAATGTAGGACTAAAAATCTATCCTTTGGAAAGCAAATTTAAAAAAAAAATTGAGAAATGCTTTTAAAAAATAAATTATAATAATGTGGGAATTTTATGTAGGGAGCCACAGGAGATAGAACATATGAGACAGGCTGATGTGATTTGCTTGAGTGAGTATGTTTCAATTATAGAAGGAGGGTCAAAAGAGCACAGATAAACACAACATAGAGAGCACTAGTAACTGAAGGTTACCAATGGCATTTGAAGATCTGTGTTGTCCTACAAGCTGATCTACACAATTTCACTGTATATGGGTTAGTTTTGTTTTGATAAATGTGTGTGTTTTTAAAATCTTTTTTTTTGTGAGGAGACAAATGACCTTATACTTCTCAAAATCCTTTTTTTTTTTTAAATTTAATGATTACAGTGGACATTTTACCATTTCCTTAAACTTTAAATGCCCCTAAATTCTGTTACATTTTTTGTTCTTTCAAAACTAAGTTTATTTATTTCAGAAATAATGTTCTTGTGATTCTTTATATTCTTAAATTATTAAGATAATTCATTTACAATTTTAATGAATACTGCTGACATTTATAGTGTTATTATCTTGTCATCTTGTATGCAGAAGATTCACTGAACAGTTAAATACAGATTATAAAAAAAATGTACAGACAATTAGGCAAACGAAAAAATGCTAGAAAAATTTGAACACTAAATGTATAGACAAAAAGGGATAAAAACAAGTTACCTTTAACTGTTAATGAGTTAACTGCAGTTCCAATTCCATGGCAAACGGGTCACCCCAAAATTTCTTTGTTCCTATGCCAGCAAAAACTGCAGAGAATGTTTATAATGTGGAAAACAGATGGGACTTTGACTTTTAAAATTACAAAAGATTATTAAAATGGTTGTCATTAGCATCGAGACACTATTATTATGGTAAACAACTGCTTCTTCAACACTGGTCAAAGTATCTAATGGGATTGCTGCACTGTCCATCATTCTTCTGTGTCAAGTGTCTGTATTTATATGAGCTATGACATCTTTTGAGAGAAAAATATAAAAGAATCTGATACTGCAATTCAGTCTGACTTTGAAAAGTTCATATATAACATCATTTAAATATGTTAAGGCTTACCTGTCATCATTTACAGTGTAAGCTGTTTTTCATTGACAGACAAATCTACTAAACAGTAAAATTGTTTCGCTGACATTCCATGCTGAGATTTTGGAGAAACATTTCAAAATATGGCTGCACAGTGCCAACCACAGATTTCTTTCTTTCATGTACAAAGCAAATTCTACTTGCATATTGGTGTTGAAAGCTGGAAATATTTTTTTTTTTTAACATTTCTGCCAGTCACTGTTAACTGTTACCTGGCAGGAACTTGTACATACATGTATATTAATAATTACTTCAATGTATATATATAAAATATACTACCGGAAGCATCTGACAGTTTAAGAGCAACTAACTGTTGTTTTACAATGTTTGACCAATTTAAAATCATAACTAAATGCTATTTTGTATTCCACATATTGATGCAATTCCAATGTGCACTATTCTATATATCTTTGAACTTATGGGTGAGATGTAATTCGAGTAAAGTGTCTGATTTCAGGTGTGATGATGCTTTTCTTGATATTACTCTTCTTCTACATCAGACATCAGCCATGCTAAACACTCAGTCACAAACAGGACAGAACATCTAAGGTTGCTGCCAGCCCCCCCCCCCCCCCCCTTTTTCCCCACCTTCCCCCACCCAGTCTGTAATGGAACTGTGTTGTTCCAGATCTCCCACCTCTGACATTAGTAGTTAAAGCTTTTTATATGATAGAACCCAAAGAAGTTCTAAATTAGTAGTTATAGCTTTTTTTATTATAGAACTCAAATGAGTTCTAAATTAGTAGTTATAACTTTTTATATTATAGAACCCAAAGGAGTTTTAAATTAGTAGTTGAAGTTTTTATATGATAGAACCCAAAGGTTAGTTGCGTATCCTTTACAGGACGTTTCAGAACCAACCCCAACAGCCCCTGGCTGTTGTGTGGTTTTTCTAGGCAAATTTACATCCAGTAGTTTGCCATTGCTTTCTAGGCGGTCAGCTTTCTTGATACACTGTCGAAACCAACGCAAGGCGCAGGGCCCGCAGCTGGGATCGAACCCGCCATCCCAGCATTACGAAGCGTTCGCATCGACTTAGCCACAGAGCAATAGAACCCAAAGAAGTTCTAAATTAGTAGTTAAAGCTTTTTATATGATAGAAACCAAAGGAGTTCTGAATTAGTAGTTAAATCTTTTTACAAGATGTAACCCAAAGATGTTCTAAATTAGTAGTTAAAGCTGTTTATATGATAGAACCCAAAGGAGTTCTAAATTAGTAGTTAAAGCTTTATATATGATAGAACCCAACAGAGTTCTAAATTAGTAGTTAAAGCTTTTTATATGATAGAACCCAACGGAGTTCTAAATTAATAGTTAAATCTTTTTTTATGATAGAACCCAAAGGAGTTCTAAATTAGTAGTTAAAGCGTTCTATATGATAGAACCCAAAGGAGTTCTAAATTAGTAGTTAAATCTTTTTATATGATAGAACCCAAAAAAGTTCTAAATAAAGTAAAGCAGAGGATTTCTATTTAAACCTTGAGCTGTCCTGGGAATTTGGTGCTAAATCCATTTTTATAGACCAATCAGCGCTCAGAATCACACCATCAGCTTTTGTTTCCCATACATTTTCTGGTAGCTGTATTTCAGGCTGGGTGGACATTATTACGCGAATTAGTGAAAATATCCATGTGCCTAAAGACCCTCAAGGCCAACAGGCACGTGAGCAGTCACTGCTCTTTTGTGACTCCAGCAGGTAGTCATATAATAGTTTGTCATAAAAATTCAGTTAACAACCTCACTAACTGCTAGTAATGCCTGGCTGCTGAAGTTAGAGATGGAGCACTAATGGGAATGCCCTGAGTGCTGTGATGTTGGTTCTTGAACTCAACTTTAACTACTAGGAAGAGCAGCTGGCCGTGTGGTTTAAGTGCTGGGCTAGGCTCTTGTGCAGGAGAAAGTTGATCCTCTGTAAGAGATAGAGATTTTATTCTGCTCTGGTGCAGGAGACCTCAGTTGATCCTCTGTAAGTGATAGAGATTTTATTCTGCTCTGGTGCTGGAGACCACAGTTGATCCTCTGTAAGTGATAGAGATTTTATTCTGCTCTGGTGCAGGAGACCTCAGTTGATCCTCTGCAAGAGATAGAGATTTTATTCTTCTCTGGTGCAGGAGAACTCAGTTGATCCTCTGTAAGAGGTGGAGATTTTATTCTGCTCTGGTGCAGGAGACCTCAGTTGATCCTCTGTAAGTGATAGAGATTTTATTCTGCTCTGGTGCTGGAGAACTCAGTTGATCCTCTGTAAGAGATGGAGATTTTATTCTGCTCTGGTGCAGGAGATCTCAGTTGATTCTCTGTAAGTGATAGAGATTTTATTCTGCTCTGGTGCAGGAGATCTCAGTTGATCCTCTGTAATAGGTGGAGATTTTATTCTGCTCTGGTGCAGGAGACCTCAGTTGATCCTCTGTAAGAGATGGAGATTTTATTCTGCTCTGGTGCAGGAGACCTCAGTTGATCCTCTGTAAGTGATGGAGATTTTATTCTGCTCTGGTGCAGGAGACCTCAGTTGATCCTCTGTAAGTGATAGAGATTTTATTCTGCTCTGGTGCTGGAGAACTCAGTTGATCCTCTGTAAGTGATAGAGATTTTATTCTGCTCTGGTGCAGGAGACCTCAGTTGATCCTCTGTAAGTGATAGAGATTTTATTCTGCTCTGGTGCTGGAGAACTCAGTTGATCCTC